ATCTCTTGCTAGCTGCAACTCCAACTGCGCTTTGGCCTTCCCGACTTCATCCCTGCATGCCCGAATAATACTCTTCTATTCTTCCCTAGTTAGTTGTTCAAGTTTCTACTTTTTATAAGCTTCCTTTTTGTGATTTAGTTTACTGAAGAGTTCCCTGCTAAGCCAAGCTAGTCTTCGGCCATACTTGCTAGTCTTCCTGCATACTGGGATGCTTTGTTACTGTAGTCTCAGTAAGGCTTCTTTGAAGTACAGCCAGCTCTCCTGGACTCCCCTCCCCCTCAGACTGACCTCCCAGGGGATCCTGCCCATCAGTTCCCTGCCTTTCTGAAATCCAGGGTCCATACTCTGCTGCTCTCCTTTCTTTCGTCAGGATCCTCCACTCCACCTAATGGCCACTGCTGCCCAAGTTTCCATCCACTACTACACCCCCGTCCAATTCTTCCCTGTTTGTGAGAAGCAGGTCAAGAAGACGACAGATCTTGTTGGTCACTTCAACACTTGCACCAGGAAGTTGTCTCCAACACTCTCCAAAAACTTATTAAAATTGTTTATGCACCACTGTAAGGCTCTCCCAGCAGATGTCAGGGTGACTGGAGTCCTCCATGAAAACTGGGGCTGATCATCTGGAAACTTCTGCTACTTGCCTGAAGAAAGCCTCACCTACTTCATCCTCCCCGTCTTGTGATCTATAGCAGGTACCTCCCACATCATCACCCTTGTTGTTCTCCCCTCTAACCTTAACCCAGAGACTTTCAACAGGCCTATCTCTAGTTTCTGGAGCTCTGAGTGTTCATACAGCTCTTTACAGACAATGTAACTCCTCCTCCTCTTCTCCCCTGCCTGTCCTTCCAGAACAGTTTGTATCCATCCAAACAGTACTCCAGTCACATGAGCTATCCCACCAAGTCTCTGTTATTCCAGTCATGTCATAGTTCTGTGATTGCACAGGGACCGTCTCAAGAATGTTCTTCCTCTTTGCACACTGTTACTTCTCCCCTCTAGGATGGAGTCCTTGAAGAATAAGCAGTGAAAGAAAAAATGGTGTACTTTAAAAGCTGGCTTCCAAGCAGAAGCTAGAATATTCTCCAGATGCTACTCTCATTTGCTGGTTTTACCCAAATCCCCTGTCTCAAGCAGGTAAGAAGATTAAGTATAGGAAATGTACCTTAAAACAAAAAATCACTTGCAAAAAACTGATCTGAAGATAATAATGTATTTTCATGGCCAGACAGATGTAATCTGACCAAAATATGGCAATACGCATATTTTAAAATGCAAATCTGTACTACTTTGTAAACATGGCTGCACAAGAAGGAATATAGTTGTGTTATACTAAACTCAAAGTCTGAAAGTTTCATATCCAGTAAATTATTGACTAACTTAATACTTTTTCATGACAAAGTTTTCCTAACAAATTTATATGATGCTATATTCTAATTAAAGTTATATAAAAAGTGTTGAACAAAACACATTCAGTATCACCTACTAATGCCAAGCTCATTCATATTCATCTGTTATATATTTCAAAGACATTCAAACTTAACTTTGGCTATTTGTTCTAAAAATATAGAGTTCAGATTTTTGACTGCCACCATATTTAGGACTTTATTTAAGGAATACGAGTTTCATTTTGACATTTTACACTCTGGGAGTTCACATCAGAGCAGACATGAACGGCTGAGAAAAGGGTTTGACTGTCAGCTTTTAAAGTTATTCATCTACAGATGGTCTCTCTGTACCTCGTACTAGCACATAGTCATTATGATTATCCTCTTCATTAAGCAAGGTGTTGTTGGGAGCTTCATTTGGCAATACAGCTGAAAAAGGCTCTGCTTCATTTTTAACAGGCGCCTCCATCACTTTAGTTTGGAGAATATCACATTTGCAGACTGGGCATGTCCTGTGCTGTAGGAGCCAGGGATCAATGCACTTCTCATGGAAAAAATGGCTGCACTGCAAAATGCGCACAACATCTCTGGACTTGTATGCTTCTAAACACACAACACAGCTCTCTCCATCTGAATCAGCTTCCTTATCACTCTCTTTTAATATGCGAAGCTCAAGACTACCAATAGCTTTCTTGACATGCCTCAATTGCTGACATCTCTGGATCCGAGTTCTTGCTGTTCTCAGTCGTCCAGCACAGCAAAAGGTAAAATAGGCAACTGTGACCAGTGTACAGATGACAAGGGATCCCAAATAATGATTAAACCAGGAGCCATAGTGTTTCCCTACTTCTATTTCTACTGTTACTCTGATGCCATTCTGAATCAGGCGTAAGATGTCCAGGCCTTTCAAGCTGCCAATCATAACTGCAACAATATCTTCTGCACCCAGAGAAATCATAGGAAACATTCCATTACCTGTCCCTGGATAGTTGTAGATGATCACACCAACCGCTCCCTTCTCTGCTGCCACTTTTATTTTGTTTGTGAAGGTGCAATGGCCCCTCATAATGAGGGCTATCCAGGTCTCTGCATTCACAGGCTTATTGAAGCTTGTGAAGGGGCTGCAGGCATTTTGGTTTGGTCCGTCTGGTGGCACCACTACTCCAGATACCTTCTTTAGTGGAGAATTTCTTCCAAATACTCCATTGTCTGATAGTTCCCAAACTGTCTCATTCCCTACTTGAAATGAAATGTTTAGGTGGGCAACCCAAAAGACAGTGGCTTGGGAACCAGGCAGACTAAGCACCAGAAAGACACCAAGACACACACTCAAGGAAGATTTGGTCTCTCTTCTCCATGCATCAGTCCTAAGCAACTTCATTCCTCTCCCAGCCAAACAATTACAATTCCAATAAAACAATGAAAAAATGACCAGACTCTGGTAACTGTGAGAAACTGAAGAGAATAAAACATTAGAAGTCTATACGGACAGGACAAGTTCCCTCTGTCCCCTGCACTTCGGTAACTTCCTGGAGTTTCATACAAGCAAGATGGGGAAAAATGTTACCTTTAAAATGCTAGACTTTTCAAAATAGTAATAAATGGTCATTGTTGGATAGTGGAATTGTGACATCATGAGCAGCAACCCATTTATTTGCATACCAATAACTGTACTTAAAAGAAATCTATGGTTTCTCTGTATTACTCTGAAAAAGTCTGTTTTCAGAGTCTGTGTACTTTGGGAAAGATCTAAATCCCGTTGCAGGAGAGGGACCAATTTAATCTATAACCTCACTTTCAAAAAAAAGCCCCGAAATATTAAGTGTGAAACAGAATGTTACTTTATGCTAACTGGAGTTGTTACCACAAATTCATTTTATAACAGTGGAAGTATTACACTACTCAATCAAATTATTGTTGCTTTTGCATATCATGGTTAGTCTATTGGTCTTAGTGCATGAAAGAACCAGTATGGAATTTGAAAGTTATTTTTTTTCCTTTAAAAAAAAAACTTCAGTAACAAACTCTCTCAACAAACCAGTCATTGCCCAGCTTCTGGTTACATCCTATATCAACCTCTCTGTTTGGTGGGGAAAAATTCAATATTACCACATTCTATGCACAAAATATGATACTGAGGTTACAAGGTAAGGGCCAGAAATAATTCATCTCCATTCCTATTTCACTACTGGAATCTGTTTACTTGGCTAGACTTAAATTACACATGGCAAGCTGTTGTGCCATAGATGGCTAAGAACTTCTTCATAACATAGTGGTGTCACAATCAGACCTCTAACACAACCTGCAAGAAACATGTCAGACAACACTTAGAGGTGTAAGAGACCGTTCAGGAAGTCAGGGAGACTACAGATACATTACGCAAACTTGGCCTTAAAAAGGAACTCCTTATTTCAAAAGGAGTGACAGACTTAGACTGTTGAAATTCTGAGATTTTTTTTTCTAGGACCAGATACTGGAACCTTACATCAAGTTGCAAGATAGCCAAGTACAAAATCACTGTCAGATGGATCAATTCAATGCTGCGACGGTATATGAATGGAGTAAAAGTAGGTCTGTAGTTCCCAGGATCCTCCTCCTTCCCTTTCTTAAAGATGGGCACTATATTTGCCCTTTTCCATTGTCCAGGACTACCTTCTATTGCCATGAGTTTTCAAAGATAACAGCCAGCAGCTCTGCAATAACATCATCCAACTCCCTCAGCACCCTTGGGTGCATCACATCTGGTCCCATGGACTTGTACACATCCAGTTTTTCTAAATAGTCCCTAACCTGTTCTTTCACTACTGAGGGCTGCTCACCTCTTCCCCAAACTGTATTGCAGGGTTTCATTAAAATACAGCCAGTTCTCCTGTACTCTTTTCCCCCTCAGATTGACCTTCCAGGGGATCCTGCCCTTCAGTTGCCTGAGGCAGTCAAAGTCTGCTTTTCTGAAGTCCAGAGTTCATACTCTGCTCTTCTCCTTTTGTCAGGATCCTTCATTCAATCATCTCATAGTCACTGCTGCCCAAATAGCTGTCCATTACTACACATCCCACACCAATTTTTCTCTGTTTGTAAGCAGCAGATCAAGAATAGGACAACCCTAGTTCATCTCCAACACTTGCGCCAGGAAGTTGTCTCCAACGTTCTTCATAAAGGTCCTTGATTGCCTGCGCACTGAGGTATTACTCTTCCAGCAGATGTCAGGGTGACTTAAGTCTGCCAGGAGAACCAAGACTGGTAATCTGGAAAATTCCACTAGTTGTCTGAAGAAAGCCTCGTCTAACCTCATCCTCCTGGTCTGGTGGTCTACAGCAGACACCTACCACATCATCACCCTTGTTGCTCTCCCCTCTAACCTTAACCCAGAGATGTTCAACAAGAACAACTGGAGAAACTATCTCCAGTTACTGGAGCTCTGAATCATCACACAGCTCTTTTACAGACAGTGCAATTCCTCCTCCTCTTCTCCCCTGCCTGTCCTTCTTGAATAGTTTGTACTCATTCATGACAGTGCTCCAGGCATGCGAGCTATGCCACCAAGTCACTGTTGTTCTAGTCATGTCAGTGCTTTGGCTGTGCAAGGACACCCAATTCTTCCTGCTTCTCTCCCAGGCTCCATGCGCTTGTGTACAGACACCTGAGGTAACTAGCCAATTGTCTTACTTTCTCAGTAAGAATGAGGAGGCCTCCCCTGTTGTCCCTTCCTCCAAGTGATTCCTCCAGGTCTCCTGCATCCCCACCTACCTCAGGGCTTTGAGCTCTATCCCCCAGCAAACCTAGTTTAAAGCCTTCATCACTAGATTAGCGAGCCTGTCTGTGAAGATGCTCTTCCCTCTCCATCAGGTGGATCCCATCTCTTCCTACCAATCCTCCTTCTTGGAACAACATCTTATGGTTAAAGGAGCTGAATCCCCAGTGGTGACACCACCCGTCAAGCCATGCGTTAATCTCTAAGATGCACCTGCCCCTGTCTAGGCCCTTCCCCTTGACTGGAAGGATCAAGGAAAACACCCCCTATGCTCCTGTCCCCTTCGTTCTTGCACCCAGAGCCCTGTAGTCATGCTCGATCTCCTCATGGTTACTGCTGGCAATATCATTGTTGCCGACACAAATAAGCAGCATGGGGTAGTAATCTGAGGATTGGACAAGTCTCAGTAATCCTTCTATATCTTGGGTCTGGGCTCCAGGCAAACAAGAGACCTCCCAGGACAACAGGTCAGACTAGCAAATGGGTCCCTTCATCCCCCGCAAAAATCTTCAACCACCATCACCTGTTGCCTCCTCTTCATGGTGTAGAGAGACATATACGTGTTTTGCTTTTTGTATTTATTTTGGGTTAGGAGTATAATAGCAGAATGCTTTCCAAATGGGCTTACTGAGCTCTATAACATTGTTAAGAGTTGTCTGAATGGTTGTGCAGGTGGAAATGTGAATCCCAAGGGTACTACAAGGCAACGGAAGGGTACTGTAGAACAATGGAGCTGGACTGTGAAAAACAAAAATGGGTTTGAGCTGGTAAAGACAAGCTACGAGGACGTAAGATTCTGTGAACACTTCTGCCAACTAATAACAGGATGGTAATATCTGCATTTCTACACTGCTTATGCAAGAACCTTTCGAAAGGCTTAGGTATCGCTGTAAGATGTGTGGTGGTTGGAGAACAAAGGAACCTGCCCAGCAACTGAAGGAGAGTTGCCACTATTGTGAAAAAAGCTATAAAAAGCTGTAGAAAGGACTTCACAGTGGTACCCTTTTACATCAAGAAAAGAACCAGAACCAAACTGCATTTTGGAGAAACATGCTGGCAACCCCTCTCCTATTATCAAGCAGCTGAACCCTCATTCAACGGGCCATCGATTGAGGACAGCGTAATCTGGTGATGTATGAATGAGTGTGTGAATCTATGGGTATTAGATGAGATAAGGATTTTATTAGAAAGAGATATATAGACTCAATAAACTTACTTCTGTTTAAAATAAATTCAAGACTTGCTGCCTTTTGTTGTGCTAGTGGCAGCGGTTTTGTTTCTCCCCACTTTGGGGATTCCTGGCCTGGCCTCTTCCACCAACAGAACGCTCTCTTCCTTCTCTGTTGCTAGTGCTCCATATGCGTTCTCTAGACAAACCGCTGCAGGCGGGGATGACAATTTCTTCTTGCTGCCAGAGGTCACAAGTTCCATCCTCCACCTTCCTGAGACTCCATACCCTCTTCCTTTTCCAGCAGCACCTGTGGCAGTCCTTCCTCCACAGTCCTAGAGGTTTCCTCCAGCATGGAACTGATGATGTCCACATGGCAGAGGATGCTTTAGAGCCTTGCTACCTCCTCCTATAGCTCTCTTGCCTGCTCCCTGAGAGACACCATCAGAAGGCACCACTCACATTGCAGGCACTCCTTAACCCAGCTGACACTGGAAGAAACCTGCAAGCTGCAGTCTGCACAGCACCAACCAGGGCCTGGGGTAGTAATCAGAGGAATGGACAAGTCTCGGTATGCCTGGACAGACAACTCACATATGCAAGCAGAAGCAGAAATGGAAGTGGTAGTGGCTCTCCACTCTCCAGCTTTCTTTCTGGGTCTTCTAATCTGCTGCTTCTCACTTCCTGCCTCTTTCCAAGCAGACCTTCCCTAGCAAACTCTTCTGTAGCTGGCCTGTTTCCTGTTCCTTGATCCTGAAGGGTTCCCATTTCCCTGAAAACTTCTTTCTTCTCAGCAAGCTTACAATGAAGGATCATGAGACAGAATTTCACAGCAAACTGCCTAGCAAACTCCCTCTCGCTCTGAACTCTGGTTAAACAAGAGGCTTACATCTTGATCTAGCTGCTGAGTTTTAGATGCTTAAAATAAATCTGTCTCCAATTTCACAGTCCAAGTGTGGGATCTGGCACCATTTCTGCAGTCTGAGCCCAGCAGGACACCCCCATGCCTCTGACTGGCTGAGGGGCCCTGGAAGCCCCTCCCCTCCCTGCAGAATCCCACATGTATTAACATATCAATTAATGGCTTTCACAGGCTTAATCCCAATTTAAGCGAGCGGAAGCCAGTGACGCATTATTAAGCAGTCTAAACTGTGGTTAATGACTTTCATGGGCTTAACCGTGGCTTTTTCAATGGTTTCCATGGGCTTAATCAGCAAATTAAGCCATGAAAGCCATTAATTTAGACACATTATTTGTAAGCAGTCTAGGCACCTAATTAAGCTCTAAAAATGAAATATCTTATGACAATAAAGCAATACTATACACAACATGAATTGTAAATACTACCAACTGTATACACCTTATTAAACAACATTATAAAAAGGAGTTTACTGAAATTCAGTGCTAACCTTAAGACAAGCAGTTCATGCTGTGTATTAAATGCAAGCACGCTGCACCCAGCCACAGTGGCTGAAGACATTCTCTGTCTCTGTGGGGTGAATGTTTTTCCATACACTGAGATAGCATACTCAGTGTCCACCGAATTCATTCGAATGGTGAGGCAGTGTCTTGCCAGGGTGTAAAGATGTGGAAACCAGTCCCAGAGAATCCCAGAACATGAGCACAAACACAGGCACCTGGCACTCCTTGACAAACTTCACATATGCAGCACATTGATTGTCATGCTCTTTCCCCCCATCCCTAGATTGCTTTCAGTAGCTGAGGGTCACAACTTGCCAAGGACACATGGTTAGGGTCCAAAATGTAAACAGCACTAAGGAAGGGGGCAGCTGGCCTTCTGAACCGCAGTAGCAGTGATAGGTCATACCTGTAGGAGTGGTGCAGCTTCACAGCTATTGCCTGAAACA